TCTATATATATATATATATATATATATATATATGTCTTTTGGGCATGTTTTTCTACGTATGTTATTCACTTGATTCGGTATTTTATTACCAGACATTATGCAAGACCTACACCTATTTCATGTTTATATCTTAGATGTATGCTTAGGGGTGTTCGGTAGTTAGAGCTCGGGCACTCGTCATGCTCCATCTGTTTGGTTCGTGACAAAAGCTGTATCACAGTAGTTCCATCCTAGGATTGTCTACAGACCGTGTCTAGTAAAGTTTTGTTTATAAGTGTGTTGTGCACCACACTTATAAATAGGAGGCTACATGACATATAGGATTTTATCCTCCCTTGTTATCTTAGATCGTGCAATATGAGGATTCATTTTCCTAACGATAAGTTATGTTTTCAGCAATGCCTAAGAAGGCTACAACCGCCCAGGAGGGCAAGTCTATGGCTGATGAGACTACAAGTCGAGCACCACGAGTTACCAGGGCTCGTGGAAAGTTGCATAGTGAGACTCCATCTCAAACTTCACATACCATGCCCTCTCCAGAGGAAATCCGAGGGGCACCAGCTCCAGTACCCGCTCTAGTAACCCCAGCTCCTAAGCCAGATGCACCGGGTTAGGAGATGAGAGATGCCCTTCAGCTATTGACTCGATTAGTGGCTGTACAGGCTCGGCGCCAAAAGGTAGGTATTGGTCATGCAGATAGGGCCATCAGTGCGAGGGTTCGTGATTTCATAAATTTGGACCCTCCGATATTCACTGAAGCAGATCCAAATGAGGATCCTCAGGTATTTATCGATAGGATGCAGAGGACTTTGATGGTAATGAAAGCCACTACGACTGAGTCAGTTGAGTTAGCTTCCTATAGACTTCGGGATGTTGCAATTAATTGGTACGAGTCTTGGGAGTTGTCTAGAGGTGAGGATCCCTTCCAGCAGTATGACAGGAGTTTACAGAGGCTTTTCTTCGTCATTATTTGCCACCAGAGCTTAGACGGGCCAGAGTTGATAGGTTCTTGACCCAGCGACAGGGTAATATGAGTGTTCGGGAGTACAACCTTTAGTTTGATTCTTTGTCTAGGTATGCTCCTTTTATTATAGCTAAGATGGAGGATCGAGTTCACCGGTTCGTGATGGGGTTGGAGCCGTACCTACTTAATGACTGTATGTCGGTCTCACTTCATCCAGGCATTGATATTTCTCGTATTCAAGCATACGCTCAGGGTGTAGAGGAGCGTAAGTAGAAGCAGAGGGTAGATCGTGAGCATGATAGGGGATAGAGTAAGAGAGAGAGAGATCTTCAGGTCTTTCAGGTGAGTTTTGAGGTGGTCAGATACATCAGTACCCGAGATATCCAGCCCAGCCATCGGCTAGTGCACCTCCTCAGTTTTGCTGGTAGGAGATTTAATCGTCCCACCTATCTAGGGCCCAGTTAGAGTTCTAGGGCCTCTAATTCTCAGTATAGGGGTGAGTCAAGTCAGATGAGGCCACCCTTGCCACGATGTTCTCAATGTGGTAAGCAGCATGTCGGGCAGTGCCTCGTGGGGTTGGGTGTTTGTTATACTTGTGGTTATCCAGGCCACGTTATGAGAGATTGTCCGATGAGAGGTGGTGCAGGTATAGTTTAGCTAGCGGGATCTTTAGCTGGTTCATCATCATTAGTACGCCCCCTGGGCAAGGTTCACAGGCACCAGCCGGTCATGGTAGAGGCAAAAGTGGAGCATCTAGCTCGAGCGGTCCTCAGAACCGTTCTATAGGTATATTATCAGTCTCCTCATATGATGTATATGCATTGATTGATCCAGGTTCCACCTTATCGTATGTCACTCCGTTGGTTACTAGAAAGTTTGGGATAGAACCTGAGTTGATTAAACCTTTTGAGGTGTCTACACCTGTTGGGGATCTAGTCATAGCTAGACGGATATATAAAGATTGTATAGTAGTAGTTCTTAGTCGTTCTATAGTAGCAGACCTGATTGAGCTAGATATGGTAGAATTTGATATCATAATGGGTATGGATTGGTTGGCTTCTTGTAATGCTAATGTTGATTGTAGATCAAAGATGGTTCGGTTCCAGTTTCCAGGGGAGCCAGTTCTAGAGTGGAAAGGTAATACGGCATCGCCGAGAGGTAGGTTTATTTCCTATCTCAAGGCAAGGAAGATGATCAGAGAGGGCTATATTTATCACTTAGTTCGGGTACAGGATGTGAAAGCAGAGTCACCGACCCTTCAGTCTATCCTAGTGGTTAGTGAGTTTCCCGATATTTTTCCCGATGAGCTTCCAGGCCTTCCACCATAGCGGGAGATTGAGTTTTCTATTGACACATCACCAGATACTCAACCGATATCTATTCCTCCTTAGAGAATGGCACATGTAGAGCTGAGATAGTTGAAAGAACAACTTAGGGATTTGCTTGAAAAAGGCTTTATCAGACCCAGTACATCATCGTGGGGAGCACCTGTATTATTTGTGAGAAAGAAAGATGGTTCCTTGCGGATGTATATTGATTACAGACAATTGAATAAGGTGACAATCAAGAATAAGTACCCGCTCCCGAGGATTGATTATTTATTCGATCAGTTGCTGGGTGCTAGGTGTTTCTCGAAGATAGACTTGAGGTTGAGGTACCATCAAGTAAGGGTTAGAGAGAAAGATATTTTGAAGACAGCATTCAGGACCAGATACTGGCACTTTGAGTTTCGTGTTATGTCGTTCGGTTTGACCATTGCCCCAACAATATTTATGGTTTTATGGACTGTGTGTTTAGACCCTTTCTAGATCTATTCGTGATTGTATTTATAGATGATATTTTGGTTTATTCTCATTCAGAGGCTGAGCAAGCAGATCATTTGCGTACTATGCTCAGAGTTCTACAAGAAAGGAAGTTGTACGCAAAATTCTCTAAATGTGAATTCCGGTTGAATTTTGTAGCTTTTCTTAGACATATTATTTTAGATGAGGGTATCTGTATTGATACACAGAAGATTGAGGCAGTGAAGACTTGGCCTAGACCCAGACACCGACGAAGGTTTGTAGCTTCCTGGGTTTGGCAGGTTATTACAAGAGATTCGTAGAGGGCTTTTCTTCTCTTTCAACACCATTGACAAAGTTGACTCAGAAGGCAACTAAGTTTCAGTGGACTGATGCTTATGAGCGGAGTTTCCAAACATTGAAGGACAAATTGACTTCAGCACTGGTTCTGACACTCCCAGAGGGTACCGATGGTTATGTAATCTATTGTGATGATTTAGGCATTGGATTGGGTTGTGTACTGATGCAGCACGGTAAGGTTGTAGCTTATGCTTCTATACATCTAAGAAAGCATGAGAAGATTTACCCGACCCATGATTTAGAATTAGCCGCGGTGATTAATGCACTAAAGATGTGGAGGCACTATTTGTATGACATCCATGTTGATATCCATACGGATCATAAGAGCCTTCAGTGTGTCTTCAAGCAAAAGGAAGTGAATTTACGTCAGAGGCGATAGTTGGAGCTACTGAAAGACTATGATGTTGATATTTTATACCATCCAGGGAAGGCGAATGTAGTAGCCGATGCCCTCATCCGTAGATATATAGGTAGCCTATCATATTTACAGCCAAAAAAGAGTGAGATAGACCGTGAGATTCATCAGCTAGCTAATCTTGGAGTTTGATTGCTAGATTCAGGTGATACTGGAGTTACTATTCTGGACACGACAACATCCTCTTAAGTAACTGAAGTGAAGGAACGCCAGTATGAGGATCTTGTGCTTGCTCATTACAGAGATACAGTCCCTCAAAAGGAGAAGACACTATTTGAGATTGCAGGAGATGGAGTCCTCAGATATTGAGGTCGATTATGTGTTCCTAATGTGGCAGAGCTGTGCCAACAGGTTATGGGAGAAACTCACTATTCTAGTTATTTTGTTCATCCAGGAGCCACAAAAATGTATCATGATATCAGAGAAGTATATTGGTAGGATGAAATGAAGAAGGATATAGCAGAGTTTGTTGCTCAGTGCCCTAATTGTCAACAAGTTAATATTGAGCATCAGAAACCCGATGGAATGTTGCAGGCTATAGAGATTCCAACTTGGAAATGAGAAGTAATCAATATGGATTTCATCATAGGTTTACCTCGTACCCAGCGTAAGTTCGATTCTATATGGGTGATTGTTGATAGACTTAAAAAATTAGCCCATTTTCTACCTGTCAAGACTACGTATTCAATAGAGGATTATGCAAGGCTTTACATTAAGGAGATTGTATGACTTCATGGTGTGCCTGTATCTATTATCTCAGATAGAGGTGCTCAGTTTATAGCTCATTTCTGGAGGTCCTTCCAAAAAGGATTGGGGACTCAAGTAAGTCTTAGTATAGCATTTCATCTCTAGACAGATGGTCAGGCTGAGCGTACTATTCAGATACTAGAGGATATGCTACGAGCTTGTGTGATAGACTTCAGTGGTAGCTGGGATGATCATTTTCCACTTATTGAGTTCGTATATAATAATAGCTATCATTCCAGCATTCAGATGGCTCCATACGAAGTTCTTTACGGACGAAAGTGTAGGTTACCTATCGAATGGTTCGAGGTTAGGGAAAATAAGTTAGTAGGACCAGATTTGGTACAACAGGCAGTTGAGAAGATTAAGCTTATATGGGAAAGGCTATTAGCAGCTCAAAGTCGTCAGAAGTCTTATGTAGATAATCGACGACGAGACTTTGAGTTTCGGGTAGATGACTGGGTATTCCTAAAGGTATCACCGATGAAAGGCGTTATGAGATTCGGTAAGAGAGTAAATCTTAGCCCTCGATACATTGGACCTTATAAAATCATACGCAGAGTAGGCCAGGTAGCATATGAGTTAGATTTGCCTTCCAACATGGAGTTAGTACATCCAGTTTTTCATGTGTCTATGCTCCGTAAGTGTATTGAAGATCCTTCTAGAGTCATTCCAATTGACGATGTTAAGGTCACAAAGCAGCTATCATATGAGGAAGCTCCTATTGCTATACTAGATAGAAAGGTTAGGAGATTGAGAACTAAAGATGTATCTTTGGTTAAAGTACTTTGGAGGAACAATAATGTGGAGGAGATGACTTGGGAAGCTGAAGAAGACATGAAGTCTAGCTATCCTCACTTGTTCCATTTTCGGAGGAGGATCGGACTGAGATATCACAGCCTTTAGGTACGTATATGGTACTTGATTCTTAAGTTAGTTATTGTCATTGGTCGTGTCAAGCCATTGGTGTTATTGATGATTGTGGCCCTGTATGGCTTTGTATTGTTGGGTTTTCTATCTGACAAGTTAGTAGTGGTACCATTACAGAGGATACTCTGCCAAAATTTCTATAGATCTCTGGGAGTTTAACATTCGAGGACGAATGTTTCTAAGCGGGGAAGATTGTTACACCTTGTGCATCCCAAGGCGACGTATAATGAATATGAGACTTGTTAATCATGATATAAATTAGTTTAAAGTCATAATATGACTATATATGATGTTTTTATAGAAAATATAAAGTTTGGGAAAAATCGGATTTAAGTTGCGGAAAAACCGACTAGGGATTTGCCTTGTAACAGAGCTTTTTGAGAAATATATTTCGTGTGCTATATGAGGTATTTTTGGGAC